ATGTTCTTATTTTTTGTTTAAAAAACACTAAAAAAAGTACATTCAAAGCCTTAACAAGACTCTTGATACCATCATATCACCTACACCATCCCATGCCATTGTGTCAACTAAGTTATTGATCATTAGAATAATAGGTTAATAGGTAAAGCTGAGACTATTTAACATCCAAGGAAAACAATCAATGTTTTAAAAATGCCAATATATCACTCTCAAATAAGAAGGGTTATATTATAATATATGATGTTGTCAGGAAGAGAGAAGTGTTTGTCAACCAAGTTGGAAACATAGAAATGCTAAAATACATTTGGCAAGTGTCAGTGATTAGTGGAGACAACCAGTATAAAATCTAGTCCTCCAAAAGTTTGGTCAGAGGATCTATAATATCACTACTGATTGATTGATTATTTACTTACTCACTTTTTAAAAATTGATTTTATGGACAAAATGGTTAGTCTATAAGAGAAAAATTAAAGTACATTAAACTATCTAAATTAGACATATAATGTGTAACATATGTTCTTATATGAAATATCTGCTAAAACTGAAAGGGAGACTGTAGATGTAATGGTCTTATTAAATAAGAAACACAGAGCCAAATGCAGAGTTAGAAGCCCAAAAGGTCAGAGCACTAGCTAAGAGCTGAGACTAAAACTGCCTTTTTATCAACTGCTGCCGTTGCCGTCCTTCCCCTGAGAAAGAGACCTACTTCCTGTGTGTCTGTCTTTTTATTGACTTTCTGTTCTGCCTTCTCATTGGTTGTAAACCCAACCACATGACCTCCTTGTCACTGCCTGTCTATACAGACCTCCAGTTCTCTATGGTTGGTATTGAGATTAAAGGCATGTATCTCCAAGCTGGCTATGTCCTTGAACACACAGACTCTGCTTGCCATATGATTGGATTAAAGGCATACTTCACCACTGCCTAGCTTCTGCTATGGCTTGCTATTAGCTCTGACCCCTAGTCAACTTTATTTATTAACATACAAATAAAATCACATTTCAACACAAATAAAATATCACCACAGAAGACATTTTGCATTGTGGGATTATTTTGTCATCTGTAATTTTTTCTTATTGTTCTAAGGATTTTGTTTTAACTAATAATTCCCCTAGACCCTGCAATCTTAGAATTTCTTAAGTATTTCTATGTACTACCAAATTTTGCCTTCAAAAAGGGAGATATGACATTGTTCTACTGTCTTAAACACACTTCACTCAGTTTTTCTTTTTTTTTTTTTATTTTGCAATACAGTTCAGTTCTACATATCAGCCATGGATTCCCTTGTTCTCCTCCTCCCACCCTCCTCATCTTCCCCCCAGCCCACCCCCTATTCCCACCTCCTCCAGGGCAAAGCCTCCCCTGAGGACTGAGATCAACCTGGTAGACTCAGTCCAGGTAGGTCCAGTCCCCTCCTCCCAGGCCGAGCCAAACAATCCTGCATAGGCCCCAGGTTTCAAACAGCCAACTCATGCAATGAGCACAGGACCTGGTCCCACTGCCTGGATGCCTCCCAAACAGATCAAGCCAATCAACTGTCTCACCCATTCAGAGGGCCTGGTCCAGTTGGGGACCCCTCAGCCATTGGTTCATAGTTCATGTGTTTCCATTCCTTTGGCTATTTGTCCCTGTGCTTTATCCAACCTTGGTCTCAACAATTCTCGCTCATATAAACCCTCCTCTTTCTCGCTAACTGGACTCCCAGAGATCCACCCGGGGCCTAGCCATGGATCTCTGCATCCAGATCCCTCAGTCGTTGGATGGGGTTTTTCATTCTACCCATTTCCATATTGTTTACTCCATGACTTGTGTTATGAAAAGTGACTATTTTTCATCTAGTACATACAGGGGGTGATTTCCTCAAACAATCCCCTTATCATTTTGTCATATATCACAGTAAATTCAGTTCTCTATCACAATGTTTTATAAAATAAAACTTCTTCTAAACCACTGATATGATAAATTTAATTGACCTTGTTTTTTCTTCCTCTCACATGTGGGAAATTTCTAAACATTTATCTTCCCTCAAAAGTCTTGTTAATCTCCTTAATGAATTTAAGGAGTCATAGCAGAATACTTAAGTGATTTAAAATTTAATAAGATAACAACATAAAGCAAAACAGAATAGAAAATCTTTGTGTCTTTTCCATAGATTAATGGTCTGTTTTGCTTTACAGATAGATAGTTGGATGAACAGATAGTTAGTGTCTTAGTTAGGGTTTCTATTTCTGTGAAGAGACACCATGACTACTGAAACTCTTACAAAGGAAAAACATTTAATTGGGGTGACTTACATTTTCAGATGTTCAGCCCATAATCATCATTGTGAAACATGGTGGCATGTAGACAGTCATGGTGCTTAAGAAGTAGCCAAGTGTCCTACATCTTATCTCATAGGCAGTAAGAACTGGTCTCAGTGTCACATTGAGGGAAGGTTGAGCAAAAGAAACCTCAAACTCTGCCTCTGCAGTGACACTCTTTCTCCAACAAGGCCACACCCACTTCAACAAGGCTACATCTCTTAATAGTGTCACTCCCTTTAGGGGACATTTACTTTCAAACAATCACAGGTAGAGATTATCTATCTATCTGTAATCTGTCTGTCTGTCTATCCATCTAGTCACATTTAGGCACTGGAAGTCACATAGTCTGAGGGTTCCTAGCTTAAAATATAGTTGTGTTGTCTCGAGGTTTACTATTTTTTTCTATTATATTCATCATTGCTAAATTGATGGTTCATCTCTCTAGCTGTCAAAATAGCTAAGGAATTGAGATAGCAAATATTCCCTGAGATGGAAATATTGAAAGGAGTAAAGGCTCATACTGTGATCCTCTTTTTGTAATGGTCATACATATGAAAAGTGAGTATATCTTTGTTCAGAATGTGAACCATTAAAAAAAAATCTTTATATGAATGAGTGTTCTGGGGCTGCATGTTTGTCAGCACAATGTGTGCATATCTGGTGCTCTCAGAGGCAGAAGATGGTGCAGAATATGCTAGAATTGAAGTTAAAGATATTTGTGGGTCACCTTGTGAATGCTGAGTATCAAACCCAGATCCTCTTCAAGAACATCAGGGTCTCCTTACCACTGGACATACCCTCCAATTCTATGAACAACTTTCAAGTGTATATTTTCCCCAATTTTCACATAAAGTAAAAGTAATGAAGTTATTGTTCCTGAAAGAGATTCTAAACTTGATTAACTCAGTGCAGAATTAATATAGAATGTCAAGGGACATCATAACTAAGAAAATCAGAAGCCAACTGATAGGTGGTGGTATAAGCCTTTAATCATAGCACTAGAGAAGTAGAGGCAGAAAGATCTGTGTGATTTCAAGCTCCACCTGCTCTACAGAGTGAGTCTCGGGACAGCTAGAGCAACAAAGAGAAACACTGTCTTGAAAAACAATCAAAAAATTATTAGCCTAGAAAAGTGGTATTATATTTTCTCACTTGATTTTTCTCTTTAGGGCTAACCTACAGGAATTAAGTCTGTGTGTACTGTAGGAGCACAGATGGACAGGTAGATGAATGGGACATGATAACAATTAAGGAAATAGAACTTACCCACACACAATTTCTTTTTTAAAGATTTATTTATTTTATGAATGAGTGCTCTATCTGCATGTACTTGATGCCAGAAGATGGTGTCAGCTCCCCACTATAGAGGGTTATGAGCCACCTGTGGTTGCTGGGAATTGAACTTAGCACCTCTAGAGATTCAGCTAGTGCCCTTTTCTACTGAGCCAACTCTCCAACACTGCCCCCCTGATTTCTAAACAAACAACAGAATGGAGTATAGATCTCAGTTGTTTTGGTGTTTTTTTTCTAAACCTTTGCTATGGAACATCAGTTCTTCATTAATACCCTTTCTGGTAACATGCTTGGGACAACTATTTACTCCATATGATTTCAAATAAAAAAATCTATATTCTACTTCACACAGTAGCATTAAAAGTCATATCAGAGTTATTCAATATTGCTTGATAGTTGTAAGCAGACCAATGGACATAGGAGCCATTAGATTTCTAGGTGAAGTGCTGCAGACAGCTAAGAGCATCAATACCCCTATACTGGGATTTCAAGACACAATAGATGATCATGGTTAGACAACTTTCTCTTTCTCTGACACATGGGCTCTCACATTTGTGAGAAAACCATGAAACCTATCTACTGTCAGTAATGTGTCTCTGCCCTTTAAACACTGGAAATTAGAAGCTTATTTTCTGTTTTTAAAAATGTGTGCTGGAAAGTTCAAAGTAGCTTTCCTGTTCTATATGAGTCCCACCTGATTTTCCAACTCAGATTCCTTATAGAGAATGTCTGTATCCTCTGTTAAGACAGAGAATACATTGATACTCTTAATTGCTGGAGATGAAGAGAAAGAAAGATTGTCATGGTACAGGAAGGATAGTTTAGCCTCGTAGCTGAAGTTTTCCTGTGTCCCACCTGGCCCATGGTCAGGACAAATCATTGTCACCCGCCAGTCCTGTAGCCACTTGGACCCAAGAAAACACACAGAGGTTTATATTAATTAAAACTGCTCAGCCATTAGCTCAGGCTAACTATTAACTAGCTCTTACACTTAAATTAACCCATAATTCTTATTTATGTTTAGCTTGGTACCTTTTCTCAGTTCTGCCTTCACATCTTGCTTCCTCTGTGTCTGGCTGGCAACTCCAGACTCAGCCTTCCTGTTCCCAGAATTCTCCTTGTCTGTTTACCCCGCCTATACTATACTTCCTGCCTGGCTACTGGCCAATCAGTGTTTTATTTATCAACCAAATCAGAGCAACACACATTCACAGCATACAGAACAACATTCCCATCATAGCCTCTCATTAGTTTGACAAAACTACAAAATATTAGTTCTACAAGAACAAATGACTCTCTACTAGTTTTGAACACCATGTGACATCTGAGAAAGAGTTTCAGTGGGTGACACAGGAGGAGTAGCAGCTGGGGCAGCTCAGGCTCTCATTTCTGTTTCCAGGAGTTTTATGTTATGATTTGTATCACTGTGGGAGGACACTGAGCATACTGTAGACAGTAATAAGTTGCAATGTCTTCAGGCTCCAGGCTGCTGATGGTGAGAGAAAAATCTGTTCCATACCCACTTCCAGCAAACCTAGATGGCACTCCATCTTCCAAGTTGGATGTATGGTAAATCAGGTGCTTAGGAGCTTTCCCTAGTTTCTGCTGGAACCAGTTTAAACTATAGCTAATGCCCTGACTGGCCTGGCAAGTGATAGTGACTCTGTCTCCAAGAGATCCAGACAAAGAGGATGGAGACTGGGTCATCTGAATATCACATCTGGCACCTAGGTATGGAGATATCATAAATTTCCACATAGCATGATAAGAAAGGACTGCTCCCAAATGCCAATATACACTGATCACCATGTAACAGAGAAATTCCCATTATAGTCCTTCTTTTACCTGGAAACCAGAGCACCAGGAGCCCGAGTAGCTGAGCAGGGGCCCTCATGTCCATGCTGAGTCCTGACTGCAGTGACAACTGCACAGGGTGTGACTGGTATATGAAGAAGTCCTCAAGGCTGTGCAGTGAGTGCATGCAAATCACTCGGAACCAATTAGGGTGGGCACAGCTGCAAGTCTTACTTATCTCAGTAACTCAGCACAAGAACAGGGTCCCCAGATACTTGAGGTCAGACCACACATATGCCTACAGAGAATGCATTTCTTAATTTTAAGTTTTAAATTTTGGAGTTTTCTTTAAAATTTTCTACTGTACATATGTATTGTTGATCTATATATTTCAAAGATATTTGGTGAGTAGTATAGAATAATATCCTGCTGTACAACAGAGAAGGGACTATTAAACCATTAATTCACTGAAATAATTATTATTAGTTAAAAATATGTGTCCTCATTGAGAAAGTTGTGTTTGCTGTAGTCATTTCATTAAATTAAAGGATAATTTTTTTTAAATCTGGATAATTTTTATGAATAAAAAAGACATATCAGCCTTAACCGTGTTTACTAAAGTACAAAATAAGGAATATACATTGGTCCACATATAACACCTTGATCCCAACTACATGTGTCACTTGGAGTTCTGACTCCATCTGAAGATGGAGGTACTGTCATACATACAGACTGCGTGAGCTGTATCTTTTCTCAGTTTGAGATCGTCCATATTTGGCCACTTTTCTCCCTTTTCCTAATATGTCATACAATTCCACAGCATGAAGGGTTGACTAGTGACGACAGACTTGAGCACTGTAACAGAAAATATGACTACTCAATACATGGCTATGCTATGTATCAAATAATATTTTCACCTTTCACTCTTGAATAAGAACTGGAGACATCATCCTGATTCAGGCCGTAGTCTCACTGTCAGCATGTGGATCTCAGTCTACAAGCAATCTAAGATCCTGAAATCTTTACATATCTTCACAACACAAACATTTGAACACCATGCATCTCACATCTATGTCTTTGCCTTGGCCATCCATTCTTTATTATCAGCAGGAGAAGTAGAATCTATTCAGTCTTCAATATTCCTGTCCTGGAGCCTGGGGATCCTTGGGATCTTTTAGAAACATAACTGTGAAAGGCCAAATAGTGTGGGAACCTATGCATGAACCTGCTGATTTTCCAGGGATCTGTACTTGAGTGGTGGGTGTGAACAGACCTAGTCATAAAACAGCCTCTTCTAGATACAGGATACCCTCCCCCATCAGGAGTACCACACAGCACCTTTTGGTGGATTAATAGGAATGCTTGCTTCTCTGCCTATTCATTTACCTCTCTTTCTGCTGATATCTACCAGCTGTATCTGTACTTTTCTTTGATCTTTGACACGGGGAAGACATTTTTGCCTTCTCACATTTTAGCCCCAACATCTAGGGGAAGGTTTATTCAGGACACTTTCAGTGGATAATAAATGGAGTTGACAGTTCCCCTCAACCTAAAACAAGCAAATCATTATTTTGCAGAGCATCTGGAATCTGAATTCTTACCACACCTCCATTAATAAGATGGGCAAATATCATGGGAAGTCCAGAAACACTCAACTTCCCTTTACCAATGTCCCCTAGATTGGATTAAGTAATAAATAATTTTGTTTCTAGGTTATACCTTCCTTAGAAAGTATGTGTTGATGGTATAAAGGCGAGTATAGCTGCCGTATTAAAAGAAATCCAACAACTTCTTAAGAAACTCTAACACACCTACTGTATAATAATCAGTAGTCCTTGAGATTTGTGTGTCTTTCTACTGTGTTGCTTAAAAAATAGTACAGAAGTCTTTGACAGGCTTGGTTTCTTAGTATTAGCCTGTCACAAAATTATTCAGCACCAGGAACTTGACACAAGAAGGAAGAACCATGGTTGAGCAGAAGAAAAAGCTCTTGAGATAAAGACTCACTGATCCATCACTTGGGTAAGAGCTTTTTCCCCCAAGGGGGAGCAACATGGGAGTGGCTCTGTACACTACTGACAGTGATTTTTTTGGTAACTTTCCTGGCTCCTAAGGGAGAGAGTGAAATCTGACCCATACTCACATCCTCTGAAATAGTCAAGCACACCAGATGCCAGAAAGTATGCCCAGGTCATAATAGGCTTAGCAATGGATCCCTGATTCTGCTGTCACCAAGCCCCTACATTTTTCTGGTTGGACCTCCATGCAGGATTTTAACTGAACTGATGGTTTCTAATAATTGTCAACTTGACAGGACCTGCTGTAAGCAATTAGACAAGCATCTGTACTCCTATGAGATATTTACAGGTAAGATGGACATCTAGGCATGATTGTTAAGGATTATCTTTATTAGGTTAGCGGAAGTGGAAAAACTCACCGAACATCTTAGAGGCACCTTCTCATGGAGCTCCAGAAATAATGAAGTCTGTGAAAAAATCTTTTGCTTGCTATTCTGCTTGCCACTGAATCTGGCTATGGAGCTCCTAGTGTACCTTGTTTTTATCTTAATGCTGATTACATACACCCTGCTGCTATCCCCACCATTGCCGATATTGTAGCCATACTTTACTGACATCAGAATCCTGAATCTTTGGATCTCCAAAGTGGGTTAAAGTCCACTTGTTCTCTAGGAAACCTTAAAACCTTCAGTGTCAGTTGGGGAATATGAAGTTATAGAGCTTCAAGAACAGAGCAGCTATCTGTGTTCTCTGGTTCTCCACTGTGAAGACAGCCACTCTTGAACAATGTGAGCTCATATTGTCACCCAATATAGTAAATCTATTAATTTGTAAATATTTTCCTCTTTCAATACTACTGCTACTACTACTAGAACTTTTTTCTCCTCCTCCTCTTCTTCTTCCTCCTCCTCCTCCTTCCCCTCCCCCTTCTCCCCCTCCTCCCCTCTCTCTCCTCCCTCTTCCCTCCTCCTCCTCCTCCTCCTCTTCCTCCTCCTCCTCCTCTTCCTCCTCCTCCTCCTCCTCCTCTTCCTCCTCCTCTTCCTCTTCTTCTTCTTCTTCTTCTTCTTCTTCTTCTTCTTCTTCTTCTTCTTCTTCTTCTTCTTCTTCTTCGATGTCTTTGATGAGTGTGAATGGTGGGTTATTGGTTTAAATATTAAGGCAACTCCATGTAGTTAAAAGGGAGGTTTATTTTGCGGGGTAACTTACAAGTGAAGGGATAGATTACAGGGTCTGGCAAAGGTGAAGCACAGTCCAGCGGTTTTCCCTGGAGAACTCTGCTCATTCTACCTCCTGTGTCCAGGATCCAGGAACCAAGAGAGCTGGCCCATCTGGATCTTGAGTCTTTAGGGCTCCTCTCGGCTCTGCCTTGTAGGTGTGACAGTTACCGAAGCCTCAATAGCGATGGTACTTCCAGGTCAAAGCTGGAACAGCTACCCACTACAGTGGGTTCATATTTTACAGTGCACACATGGACAAATTTGGAGAGACTCATTTTTCTCTCACTGTGATCTGGACCACAAATGGGTTATCAGGTGTTTGTGCACTAAGCCCTGGATTTACTGAGCCATGTCAACAGTCCGAAATCTCCTATTTATGTATATTCACTCTGCCTGTTTTGATACTCTAGATAACCCTGACTAACAAGTTCATTTTAATAGGCATCCAGGCTGTATTTTTTCCATCTACATGAGTATTAGCTTGATAGCTAATGAAAATTTTCATAGAGGTTTAGAAAGAGGGGCTTGAAACTGACCAGCATGATGCAGACTCTAACAGGTAAACATATAACGATGAATGCAGAGTTGATGGTATGCAGTAAGATCATACACTGAGTAGAAGCCTCCCCAGCCAAGAAATGAGGGTTTGCTGAACTGTCCACTGCATAGGGCCTCCCTACTTCTCTGTACTCCACTAAGTCAAAGTCATGACGAAATACACTTGAACCTATAGGAATATGATACAATATAAAGGAAAACTGAGGCAAAACACAATGAGAAGATCTTAGTCCTCATTTTAGTTGGAGACAATTGAGCATGTGAATGCTAGATTAATAACAGGTTTATATTTCATTAATCCATGTTCTAGAGTTGGAGGGAGAATCCGATAATTTTATTATTTTATTTTATGACAATTTTTGTTTTGCTTACACATATGTTTTTGTATCACATTCATGCAGTGCCCTGGGAGGCCAGAAAAGGGTGTTGCATCTCCTTGCACTGGAGTTAACAATGATTGTGAGCTGTCATGTGGATGCTGGTAGCTGAACTCATGACCTCTGGAAGAATGGCCAGCACTCTAACTGATGATCATCTCTCAAGCCTGGAAGCAGAGATTTTTGTTGAAGTCACCAGCATTGCTACTCACCCTACATAATGAGCAAGTAAGGGAAATATTACTAAATTTCAAAATTAAGGAATGATAAGATGGCTGGGGTGAAAATAAAAACTCCAAACCTGACATGCAAAGCCTATTGAGTGTGTGGGTAAAAATTAAACCTGTAGATTTTGCCATGATGGAACTACAAGTGGCATACCCTTAAAAAACACTTCGGGGAGATTGAAATGATCCAGCTCATAGAAACACTCGATTCCAGGTTTGAGAAAATAGGTTCAATACCTGTGACTTTATGGTAGAGTGCACAAACTGACTTCCTAAAGTTATCCTCTGAATTACACAAGCATGCGGGGTTACACACACACACACACACACACACACACACACACACACACACACCACAACATACTTAAAATGTTTTTAAAAGATTCATATTTTCTTATGTATATGGATGTTTTTCCTGCATGGATTTCTGTACACCACAAATGTGCCTGGTGCCTATGGAGGCCAGAAGAAGGTAATAGTTCTACCTGAACTGGAATTACAGATGATTGTGACACCATGGGTGCTGGAAATCTTACCTGGGTCCTATGCATGATTAGAAAGTGCTCTTAACTGCTTGGCCATGTCTCCAGCCTCATGTAATAAAATACTTGTTGAAAGAAGCAGTGGTTATTTTTGTATATTGACACTGAAATATTTAGTAAATATGCAAACTAATGGTATTTATAGGTCATCACAAAATAATTTTATA